GCGGCGCAGCGCGACGCGGCAAGATGCTTGAAATTAGTCGCGCAGCACGACGTGGCGATTGCCGCGTTAGGCTGTCGTTACGAGGCGGATACGATGACGACGACGACGGATAATGCGACCGGTCAGCACAGACGACCACCACCATCACCCGAACTTCGAGCTTCGATCCGATCCGATCAGACAAGTCGGCGGGAAGAACACATACACGTCGTCGCTGCCGTTGTCCTCCTTCGTGTGGCGCACGTCACGTAGTGGACGAGGCAAATACGAAGGCGGCGGTTGAGAGGCAACGAGCTTCTGGTGCCCTAGCAACGTCCGACGGCGTCATTCGACGTTCACCTCACGCCTTCGGCTGTTTACGGAAGCGCCACAATCGCTGGACACATCTCTATCGCTACAGCCGAATACTACCTCAGAGACAAACTTCTACGGTCATAATAAAATTTGTAGTTTACGAAATTCTGACGATCAACAAACCACCTGGTTCGTCTGCTAATCGAAGCACTTTTCTACCCGAGTACACGACCAAAAGCAATTCGCAGGTACATGTCAGGATAACGTGCGCTGACAGTTGAAGGCTTTTTAATAATACAGCTGCTCCCTCCTATCACTATGTGTAACGTGACTCATTTTATATTGACGTTTTATTCGCGCTGCTTCGCCTGAATGCAAGCGTTTTATCAAACTTTAGCTGCTAATGCAAATTTTCAACGTGGCGGGAGGGGGGGTCCTATTTTATCGGTCCGAAAGTCGGTCGTTGGTGTCGCAGGGCAGATGACCCATTGGAGCGAACGCGGTTTAGCAAACAAACTACGGTGGGTCAAATAACCACATGACATACGACAAGAGGTCATCAGAATTTAATCTAAGTATTTCGCAGCGGAAAAGGGATAACTATTAATGTCGATTCGATTAGCGAATGCAGCCGATGAACCCCGTCACCAATTTAATGCATCATGCCCTTCAGTGTAGGAGCAGGCAAACAGACAGCAATCCGGAATTGATAGAGACGGACTTCATTCGTGCTAAACCCGAAAAGAAACCTGAATTGCTTTGTGCTATGTCTTTTCATCCTCAAAAATTAGGATTTCAGATATTGACGAAATTGACCGTGAATCTCGAAATGGAAATAAATAATAACGGCAACAAGTTTCGAAGCTGAACATGATTTTAAAAAAATCATTTGTGCCACATGAATGGTGAAAAACTTTAACTTGAACATGATGGACAAATTATTTTGTTTTTCAGTGCAGATCAAGGAAAACAAATATTATTGTAAAATAAGTAATAAATACATTAACAGCGGTAAGACAAAAGCGCCAAACAAATGGAACTATATTCAAAACTACGGAGAAGACAACTATAGTCGATTTACTGCGCAACGGCAATAAAGTGAAAGAACCAAAGTTACGTTTGATTTCAGACCGGGCTTATCCTTGTTAACTAACAGTTTGTTTATATCAGTCTTAAAGCAACATTATCTCTATCAATCGTCGTGTTAACAAATCCGAGATTCTGTTAAAATTCATGTCATAAAATTCGT